CAAGGAAATCACGTCGACATGATGTTGTGCACACGAGGGACAGCCCACTTGATGATGACCTCTTCGCCGAGAGAGCGCGTCGGCATTAGTGTGTCGCTTACCAGGTCTGTGAACACATTCGTAGTCATACTCTTGTAACTGCTCCTGCCAGCGGGCAACCTGTCCCACTGGATCACGAAAGTTTTGCAACCACTTCAGAGAATGATGGTCTGTGCGGACGATGAAATGTCGACCCAGCAGGAAGTGTCGAAAGTGTTTTGTATATACTACCAAAGCCAGCATCTCCTTGCGCGTTGCACAATAATTGCGCTCGGGTTTACTCAAACATCTACTGCCGTACGCTATCACGTGCTCCAACCCATCCGCTCCTTTCTGGGATAGGACAGCCCCAATTCCTGTATCACTCGCGTCCGTGTCGAGGATAAATGGACCAGCTGATGGGGACAGATCGGGAAACGCCAAAATCGGCGACGTTGTGAGCGATTGTCGTAGGGCATCGAACGCCTGTTCGCACTGGGGGGTCCAACGAAAAGGCCTCCCTTTCTCTGTAAGGCGGTGTAGCGGTCCCGCGATATCAGCAAAATTACGGACAAACCGTCGGTAGTATGAAGCCAGGCCAAGAAACTGACGCACCTCTTCCGTGGTTCTTGGAGTCGGCCAGTCTTTTATCGTCCTAATCTTTTCCGGATCACTTTGGATCCCCTCCGGAGTGATAACATGCCCAAGGAACGTTACTTCCTTTTTTAGGAGTTGGCATTTTTGTGGTCGCAATTTAAGACCAGCGTCCGAAAGGCTACGTAAAACCTTATCGAGATTCGCCAAATGTTCCTCCAAGGAACGACCATGCACGATCACATCATCTAAGTACACTAAACAGTGGTGTGGGATCCAAGATCGCAACACGATATGCATTAACCGCTGGAATGTGGCGGGTGCATTTGACAATCCGAACGGCATGGTTTGGAACTCATACAGTCCCGTTGGTAGTATGAAAGCTGTTTTCTCTCTATCCTGTACATCGACCTCCACCTGCCAATATCCCGATGCAAGATCTAAAGTTGAAAACCATTGAGCACCACCGAGGATTTCCAAGGTGTCGTCGATCCGAGGCAATGGAAACGAGTCCTTGCGAGTCACTTCATTAAGTTTGCGATAATCTACACATAGGCGTAGCGTGCCTGTTTTCTTCTTAACCAGAACGATGGGTGAGGCCCATGGCGATTTCGACGGGGTAATGATTTTTGCATCCAACATCTCCTTTATCATACTCTCGAGCTCCTGCCGGTACTGGACAGGGACCCGACGGGCCCTCTGGGTGATCGGGGCCGTTGACCCAGTGTCGATTTTGTGGCGCAGGATATCGGTGCGTCCAAGTGGGGTTCCCGCCCAAGCAAAAGCGGAGGAGTTTTTCTGTACGATGTTACGCAACATATTAAGCGCAGTGGGAGAAATGGTGTCTTGGAACGGTAGTAGGAAAGCTTCTATTTGTGAATCTACGGAGGTGGGCACTTCGTTAGCGGCACACACATGGTCGTGTTCAGTATGGGCTGAGACGATTGGGAGGTGACATCTACCCAATCGTAGACGTTCGTTGGCCAAATCAATTGAACACCCTAGGTGATGTAAGAAATCGGCACCGAGCACAGCATCCCAGGGTAGTTGGGAGGAAACAAACATAGGATGCGTCATTTTGCAATCCCCTATGAGAAGTTCAACTGTAGTGATACCTAGTGTTTTGAGTATGGTGCCATTTGCGGTTTTTAATTGGTGCAAATTGTTAGGTTCTAGGGAACGGTCACATAGTTCTGGTTTGATTAGGGAACATGTAGCCCCAGTAGCAATTAAAGCATACACTGAGTTAGAGCCGACTAACACGTTTACAAAAGGTTGCCTTGAACTTGGCGTAGGATAGATGCAAGGAACGAATTCAGACTTACCAAGACGTGATCGATCGTTCCGGCTTTGGGTGTGGGGGACAGTTGAGGGAGAAGCGATGTTTGCGTTAGGGCCACACACTCGAGCTTTTGATCCAAATTTAGCGCAGTAATAGCATTCCTTCTGGGTGTTTGACATTCGTGGTCGGCCTGGTGACAAACATGATCGGTTCGATGGCATCCGTGAACGACTCACCAAGTTATCATTGGAGCGCCTAGATTGTCTTACTAATGCTGCTGCCTCGTATTTGTGGCCGATAGCGACGGCCTCTTCGACGGAATTGGGTGGTTCCCGGGCGTAGGCTTTGCAGGTTTCTTCATCAATAACCCCTTGGACTAAACGCTCAAGGACAAAGGACTCACGAACGGTGACCGACACGTTGCCGAAAGCACGTACGGCTAAACAGCGTAGATCAGTTACGTAGTTGTCCAACGACTCTCCTACCAGTTGGGACCTGGACCAAAACTGATGCTTTGCCAGAGGGTGAGAAACCCCGCAGCCGAACAAAGAACGCAGCTTTTCCCAAATGTCCTCGACTGAGGAACTGACTGAAAAACTTGATGACATTAAGACTTCTTGGACTCTGGGGTCCAAGTGAGAAAGAATGTAAGGCCAGACGAGAAATCTTTTGGTGTCCAGCCTCCACTCACTTCTCCAGAACGATTCACTGTTGGTACCGACCTGGAAACTTGGTAATGGAGAATGGACCTTTATCTGAGTGCTGTCCCTCCGTCTAAACGCGGACCTTACATTCTTTCTCACTTGGACCCCAGAGTCCAAGAAGTCTTAATGTCATCAAATTTTTCAGTCAGTTCCTCAGTCGAGGACATTTGGGAAAAGCTGCGTTCTTTGTTCGGCGGCGGGGTTTCTCACCTTTGGGCAAAGCATCAGTTTTGGTCCAGGTCCCAACTGGTAGGAGAGTCGTTGGACAACTACGTAACTGATCTACGCTGTTTAGCCGTACGTGCTTTCGGCAACGTGTCGATCACCGTTCGTGAGTCCTTTGTCCTTGAGCGTTTAGTCCAAGGGGTTATTGATGAAGAAACCTGCAAAGCCTACGCGCGGGAACCACCCAATTCCGTCGAGGAGGCCGTCGCTATCGGCTACAAATACGAGGCAGCAGCATTAGTAAGACAATCTAGGCGCTCCAATGATAACTTGGTGAGTCGTTCACGGATGCCATCGAACCGATCATGTTTGTCAGCAAAAATGTGTAATGCGCAGGACGACGAAGGCAAATGGACCGGTAATTTAACGTGCTGGAATAAGAGGGTAACACACAGTCAGTCACAGGGCACAACAGAGGGTTCGATGAGAGAACACGGATGCAGCGAAGAACACGGAGCGAAGGTACGGAGAATGTCTAATTCTTAACATGAAAAATTGGCCTGGAGGGACTTCGTTTTCCGGTACACCAGGCTAAATGATCAAGTTCAAGTTCAAGTTCAAGTTCAAGTGGGACTGGAACGATAGGATGAATCCCGTAAGTGTTCCTTCTTGAGCGGGTCGTCGATCCAGGAGTTGATAGGGGTGCTCCGACTTCTTGATGGGTCTAAAAGGAAAACACCCGAAAAACACCCTGGTCCACCAATTTAATGCCCACGTTCCTAACATTAGCTGTCCCAGCTGTGTCAGTTACGTGAAGTAAGTAAGAGAGGAAGGAGAATCGAAGGTAAGGGAGTAGGGGAAATCAGTTAAAAGAAGAGAATAATACCAATGACGAGGAAAAGCAAAGAAAATAGAATCGAAGTATGAAGATGGGAATTTGTCAGGAAAACGGAAAGGTTTCGTGTTGCCACCCAAGAGCATCTAGTTGACGCTCAAACCCCTTAACCGTAGCTTCCTTGACAACATTTTCAGGAAGCAGGTTCCAGCGCTCGATGACTCGACGCGATAAGCGTGTCTCCGCTCTAACTCGATCGGACCGCCGGTTTGTCCAGCTTCATACAATGCCCGCGGAGACCAGATAATCTAGCAGGACTAAATAGCATGGACAAATCAGGGCCAACCTTCCCAGTCAAAATACGGTAGGTTAGGATTAGGTCCCCTCTAATCCTTCGATAGTGCATTGACTGCATTCCCAAACTAAGTAGGCGTTCGGGGTACGTTTGCCCTCGTAATCCCTTGACCAACCTAGTACCGACACGCAACACCCTTTCTAGTGCCATTTTGTCCCGGACAAGGCATGGTGGACAGGCCTGGACGCAATATTCTAGGTGGGGTCGCACAAACGCTGAGAAGAGCTTCACAAATACATCAGCGGTTAGGGTCCCAAAAGAACGACGGATAAACCACAACATCCGGAACCCTTTACTAGCCGCCTTCTTCCAGTTGTCTCCAGAGTGTAATGTGGAACAGTGGATGACACCTAGATCAACCTGATGAGTCACGTGAGGAAGTACAGTCCCATCGAGCACATAACTTGTGGAGGAATCAGACGCTCCGATACGCAGCACTGAACACTTTGCCCGGTTTATAGGCAGCAACCACAAGACAGACCATTCCCAGAGTTTATCCAGAGCCCGTTGAAGAGCAATAGTGTAGTGACCTGGAGATTCCCCTGTTTGGCTGCCGCATGCTGCGTAAAATATTACAAAATCACAAAATTATATTTTCTCGATGTACATAGCAAAATAGCCGCTCGCCTGTTTGAACGTTGCTCGCGTTTGTTTGAGTCAACATAGCATCCGCCTTCGAACGGCGCGACGCTCCTCGGCTCCGCTGCCATCTTTGCTCTCCGCGCACGCGACCACACCTTTCCCTAGCTAGCTATCTTTCGGTGCCTTATTTTTAGCACTAGATAGCCTTTCGCCCACTTAATAAATTTTTCCTAGCGTTACCTTTGGTGTTCTCCACTCACCGGAGGTTGGCCTTATTTTCGCGTATTGGTTTTAAAGCGTACCGATCCCGCTTCGCGCTTTATTGGTGACCCCGAATTTTGGTCATTATCCGGTGAGTTTTCGCTAACCTTTCTTTTCAGATTTGGCCACATTTTTTCGCTCACCCGTCTGATTTTCACTTTTCATTTTCCGGTTTAATCTCGCTGGCTCGCTATTTTGCTCGCTATGGAAACTGATCGTGTAGATTCTGACGTTCAGATAGGCACAGTTACGCTTCCTATCGCACCTTTTCGCGAGACTAATCCTAAGTCTTGGTTTGGTCAGCTAGAATCGCAATTTTCTTTGCGTGGTATTAGGTCCGAAAAGACCAAGTTCCACCTAGTCGTTTCCGCGCTTCCGCTAAATGTCATCGATGACATTGATGACATTCTAGATCTTCCTGACGACCGAAAGACTTACGATGCAGTCAAGACAGCTGTTCTGAGAAGAACAGGCTTATCCGATCGACAACGAGTTACGAAACTCCTGAACGAAACCGATCTTGGCGATCTTAAGCCATCTCAGCTGCTTCGAAAAATGCAGAGCCTAGCTAAACCCTCTTCGATAGATGATTCTTTTCTTCGGGAAATGTGGTTGCAACGACTTCCGCGCGAGATGCTACACATCCTCTGCGCTAGTGAGGATGCACCTTTGTCCAAACTGGCCGATACAGCCGACCGAATTTGGGAGTCGTACGGCCAGGTTTCGCAGGTCCAGACGAAACCGGACAACGATATCGCTACGCTTAAATCCCAGATGGCAACGTTGACTCGACAATTCGCAGACTTTTCGGCCTCCAGACATAACCGCTGTAAATGCTCTAGGAGCCGTTCGCGTTCACGTTCGAAGTCTCCTTCTCGATCACCGAATAGAAACGGTTACTGCTGGTACCACGAACGCTTCGGCCAGCAAGCTAAATCATGTCGCCCGCCCTGTTCCTTCAAACGACAGCAGCAGGGAAACGGGCGGACCAGCACGTAGGGGCGACGGACGTAGCTGGTCAACGCAGTCGCCTTTTCTTCGTCACCGATCGTAGAACCGGAGTTCGCTATCTCGTCGATACTGGCGCAGAAGTCAGCGTTCTCCCGCGTGATCCAAATGACCCGACCGAAAAGGTGACTAGCTCATTGCGCGCAGCTAACGGAACCATCATCCGCGTATATGGTCAACGCTCGCGCACGCTAAATCTCAGCCTCCGACGCGCTTTCAAATGGATATTCCTCGTTGCGGATGTTCAAACGCCTATCCTTGGTCTCGACTTCTTACGTCATTACGACCTACTCGTCGACGTTAAGCGACACCGTCTAGTCGACCGTCTTACGAACCTCGCAGTCATTGGGACTTTGACCGACACCGCGTCAATCAGTCCCGTGTACGCGACTCAACTTACTTCACCCGTCGGGCAAACGCTGCTCGATAGTTTTCCGCAGGTCTTCCGTCCTGCCGTCCCGTTGCCTTCCGTAACCGACGCCGCGACACATCATATCGTTACGAAAGGTCCGCCTGTGTTCGCAAAAGCCAGGCGCATGACCCCCGACAAGCTCAAAATTGCTCGCTCCGAATTCGAGCACATGTTAGACCTAGGCATTATCCGCCCGTCTAAGAGCCCGTGGGCGTCGCCTCTACACATGGTGCCTAAAAAGTCAGGAGACTGGCGTCCATGTGGCGACTATCGCGCTCTTAATAACGCTACCGTCCCCGACCGCTATCCCATTCCGCACATTCAGGACATCACGGCTAGCCTACGTGGCGCCCGTGTGTTCTCGAAGATCGATCTGGTTCGCGCTTACCACCAGATCCCTGTAGCCGAGGATGACATTGCGAAAACCGCAGTCATCACGCCTTTCGGACTTTTTGAATTCTTGCGAATGCCCTTCGGTCTTCGTAACGCAGCTCAAACTTTTCAACGCTTCATAGACTCTGTCACCAGAGGTCTCGACTTTGTTTATCCTTACATAGACGACATCTTAGTAGCTAGTTCTTCCGAAGAACAGCACGCGAAGCACCTCAAGATGCTCTTCGAGAGGTTAGCTTCTAATAGCATTACGGTCAACGCTGACAAATGCATCTTTCAGCAACCATCCATCGATTTTCTTGGTCATCGAATTGACCAGCATGGCATACGGCCGCTCGAAGACCGAGTCAGTGCTATTAAGGACTTTCCCCTTCCGACTACTTTGGCCGCCATCCGCCGTTTTAGTGGAATGATCAATTACTACCGTCGATTTCTGCCACGTTGTGCCGACTTGCTCAGTCCATTGACCGACTTACTTCGTGGACGCAAGAACGGCAATGTCGAATTGACGCCCGCTGCAACCGAAGCCTTCAAAGCCTGCAAAGAGGCCTTGGCCGAAGCCGTTATGCTTCACCATTTCGACCCGAAGGCTCCACTCAGCGTTGCAGTCGATGCATCGGACACCGCCATTGGCGCTGTCCTGCAGCAATTCACTGAGGGATGCTGGAAGCCACTCGCTTTCTACTCCCGACGCTTACAACCGGCAGAAGCCAAGTACAGCACGTTCAGCCGCGAACTGCTGGCAGTTTATTCTACCGTTCGACATTTTAGGCACGTCTTAGAAGGTAATTCGTTCGTTATCTTCACCGACCATAAGCCGCTTATTTACGCCTTTCGAAATCAATCAGCTCGACACTCACCACGTGAGGTTCGTCAGCTGGATTTCGTGGCTCAATTTTCTACTGACCTCCGACACATTTCAGGTCAGAATAACGTCGTTGCTGACGCTCTTTCGCGCGTCTCCGCAATCCACACCGCTGGCCAGGCAATCGACTTATCTGCCATGGCTACCGCGCAACTAACCGACACCGACTGTCAGAACGTCAAACAAGATTCTTCGCTGCGAATCACATCGCATCCACTGCCGTCATCTGATGGCACAATCTTGTGCGATACTTCTACTGGACGACCTCGACCCGTCGTTCCAGAAACCTTCCGACGTCTAGTTTTTGACACCCTTCATAACATCGCTCATCCAGGCATCCGAGCCACGATCAAGCTCATATCCGAGAGATACGTTTGGCCCGGAATGCAATGCGATCTTAAGCGCTGGGCACGCGGATGTCTAACGTGTCAACAGGCCAAGATACAGCGGCACGTGTCCGCCCCGCTTGGTCGTTTTCCGCAAGTCTCAGCTCGCTTCGCCCATGTCCATCTAGACATAGTTGGACCCTTGGCACCATCCAGAGGAATGGTCTACATTTTGACCATGATCGACCGATACACCCGTTGGCCCGAGGCCGTACCTATACCCGACGTATCCGCGGACACCGTAACGCGCGCTTTCGTTGAGCGCTGGGTCGCTTCACATGGCTGTCCAGCCACCGTGACTACCGACCGCGGTCCGCAGTTCGAATCCTCGACTTTCAACGATCTTCTCAAAGTCCTCGGATGTCAACGCATCCGGACTACCGCCTATCACCCGCAATCCAACGGCATGGTGGAACGTTTCCACCGACAGCTGAAGGCCTCACTTAGTGCCGCTAATGCACTAAGCTGGACCGAAGCACTGCCCATGATACTACTTGGTATCCGATCAGCTCTTAAAGCTGATTTGCACACGTCCAGCGCCGAATTGGTATACGGACAACCTCTTCGACTACCTGGGGACTTCTTTTCTGAAAACCCTAGAACACCTCGCTACGACGCGAATTACGCTCGGCAGTTAGCCACGAGCATGCGCCATATTAAAGCAACCGACGTGCGAGAACAACGACGTAAATCGTTCGTTCCACAAGATCTACTGCATTGCACTTACGTTTTCCTTCGAGTCGATGGTCTACGCAGACCACTCGAACGACCCTACGAAGGTCCATTTAAGGTTCTTAAACGTAAGGACCGCGTATTCGTTATCGACCGCCACGGTAAACATGAAACCGTCTCTATCGACCGTCTCAAGGTTGCCCATGTGGAACCTGAGATCGACGATGACTCCTGTCCACCTTCGGACGAGTCAACGCAGCCCATGATCGACGATACGCCTACTTCCGATGCTGCGAAGCATTCTCCGACCAACTCTTCCGACTCAGTTCCTTACGTTTCTATCGAGCCGAAAGCGTCCTCATCCGACAAAACTGCTGGATCGACAACGCCTCCGACCGAACGTCCGAAATCGACTAGGTCAGGTAGGCGGGTTCATTGGCCAGCGCGACTAAAAGATTAGTCTTCTTTTCATTCTTCTTTTCCCGCTTCCTTTTTGCTTGTGGCCTAACCCGCCCAACAAAAACGATTTGAAAACCCAAAAAAATTTGCAAAGCGTTTTGAAAACCCCAAAAACCGCAAAGACGTTTTGAAAACCCAAAAAAGGAGAAAATCGTTTTGAAAACACAAAATGGTTCTCGCTTTATTTGCTTATCGCACTCGGTAAGTGCTATCGTTTTTCGTTAGCTCTGTCGCTCGCACCTGTTTGACACTCCGCGTCTCCGCTTCTTTTTCATATCCTCGACACGCGGACGTTCAACGACGATCGAACGTTACGTTTGCGGACACTACGTGCTCAAACATCGTGTGCTTTGACACTACGCACTCGAACGCTGCGAACATTTCCCCCATTTTGTGTTTTTGGCACCTGTAGGGAGGACACGGGTGGGAGCCCCCCTAGCGTCCGATCGCATTGGTTCTCCCCCAGCAGCTGCATCAGGTTTCACCGCCTGGTCTCGCAGAAGGCTGGCCGGCGACGGACAGTCCTCACGTAGATCGAAGGGTCACCTACGGTTCCCTTCTAAGAGGGGGGCTGTGTAGTGACCTGGAGATTCCCCTGTTTGGCTGCCGCATGCTGCGTAAAATATTACAAAATCACAAAATTATATTTTCTCGATGTACATAGCAAAATAGCCGCTCGCCTGTTTGAACGTTGCTCGCGTTTGTTTGAGTCAACATAGCATCCGCCTTCGAACGGCGCGACGCTCCTCGGCTCCGCTGCCATCTTTGCTCTCCGCGCACGCGACCACACCTTTCCCTAGCTAGCTATCTTTCGGTGCCTTATTTTTAGCACTAGCTAGCCTTTCGCCCACTTAATAAATTTTTCCTAGCGTTACCTTTGGTGTTCTCCACTCACCGGAGGTTGGCCTTATATCCGCGTATTTGTTCTAAAGCGTACCGATCCCGCTTCGCGCTTTACCTCCAGGGATTTCAACAATATTCCAGAGCTTTAGGTCATCAGCAAATAAAAGCGATTGTACCTCAAGCTCCTCCGGCAAGTCATTCACGTAGACTGAGAACAGCAGCGGACCTAGGACAGAGCCTTGCGGAACGCCGCTAAGCACAGCCTGTCGAAACGAAAGACTGCTTCCCACACGAATACACTGTTCCTGTCCATCCAGAAAAGCTGACACCCACTGGAGAGCACGACCAGCTATCCCTGGTAGCACATGACGAAGAAAAATCTCCGTCATACTGAGCAAAACCTTCGTTTTGCTTCGTCAATGGCGAGGCGCTGACGAACCTTTACGAAGATTTTTCTTCGTAAACGTTCGTCATTGACGAAGCAAAACGAAGGTTAATCTTCGTTTACCTCCGTCAATGACGAACCTTTACGAAGGTTTGTCTTCGTTTTGCTTCGTCATTTACGAACCAATAGGAAGGCAGTCCGTGGACTTTCTATGTAGATGTATGATTGGACCAAAAATAATACAAAGAAATTTTTTGTTGAACAATCAATGTTACGTATAATAACGTCAAAGGGTTATAAAGTGAGGTATAATGTGGATTTGTGTTCATTAAGGTAAACGTCAGTGTTTGTTTGCGTACCTTTTTGTCCCGGAAATAGAAGTGCGCGGTCATTTGATTGCTCTACGGTTTCCCTATTGGTCTCCTTGTCGGTACGTCCGTTATTCACTTCAGACACCTTTTTTTGTTTAAGCAGCGTTACGTAAGCGTTCGTTCATTTAATATACCGATACCGTTCAAGAAAACGCACACATTCAGTGCGCTTCAAGGTAACTCAGATAACCTTTCCCACTTTATC